ATTTGGGGTTTAGCGACATAAGACTGATTCCATCTGTTTCTGCCACATATGGTACAATGACATCATACTACGTATTATCAACTTGTACTAAAGAAAATGAACATGATCAATTCTTATGTCCCATCACATTTTATATGATGCTTATTTAATTTTATAGTGTAGACAAAGCTTTTGAAATGTTTATAAAATTACTCCTCCACATACCAACTAACGACATAATGTTCTGAAGAATGGTTTCATTATCTGTTTTCCTAGCAACTCCCTGCAGCAACTCAGTTACAAGTTTGCTGTATCCTTCACTTTCTTCTCGTAAAAGATTGAACTTCTGCTGTTTGTAACTTGAGAGAAATCATTTATCTGGTTAATCCAAATTCATTTTATTTTATCTTATCTTTTGAGTTATGCCCTACAAATAGCTTAGAAAATTTACAAAAAGGTATCGTCATCATTGTTAACAATTTTTATCTTTTTCATCATCTTTTTTATCATCACTCTTATCAAATGACCACTATACCTATTCCCCATCATCACCACTGTACCACATGTCTCCAACATCACAACTGTACACACATTTATCCATCATCACCACTGTATCACATCCCTATCCATCATCACCACTGTACCACATGCCTATCCATCATCACCACTGTACCACATGTCTCCATCGTCACCACTGTACACACATTTATCCATCATCACCAACGTACCACATGCCTATCCATCATCACCACTGTACACACATTTATCCATCATCACCACTGTACCACTTGTCTCCATCATCACCACTGTACCACTTGTCTCCATCATCACCACTGTACCACTTGTCTCCATCATCACCACTGTACCACATGCCTATCCATCATCACCACTGTACCACATGCCTATCCATCATCACCACTGTACCACATGTCTCCATCATCACCAATGTACCACATGTATATCCATCATCATCAGTACATCTATATCATCATCAATTTTAACATTCATCAACCTAACCATACATCTATTTCTTATCATCATTGTTACAATTGTTTTCATCATCACTGCTACTACCATAAATGTTAACATAATAATAATACTTACAACAGTTTTGTTTTCAACTTCACATATTTTTGGCTATAAACTAACTTGTTGTTGATAGCATTGACAGCCTCCAAAGTATCATTGTCAAGCCTCTCTTTAAGGATGTTTTCAGGTATAAAATTCTATTAAAATTAATGTCATAAATTGTATAATGTACAGTATATAAAATGGTCAAGAATGCTTATTAGTGGGGGATTTGATTTTAAAATTCGGTTTAGATGGTCTCCATAACAAATATGTTATTCTGGATTTTTTAAATGGGATATTATGTAAATGAGAATGCTAAGTTTGTTCTCAAATTAGGCCCACAACTTCAAATAGGTTTTAAGCAAGACGGCCGTCCTGAAGCAAAACA